GTGCCGAGGCTCCATGACCAGGCTGCTCCTGGCCGTGCTCCCCTCTGAGCTCCACATGGGCCATGGGGCCTAGCAGCCAGCTCCTCCCACCTTGCCCTGACCAGGCTACTAGGGAGCTGAACCGGAAACTCCTGAGCAAGTGGCTCGAAACCCGAGTTCACGCCCTGGGGCTGAGATGTAGTGATGAGAGCGGAAGCCAGGAGACGTGGAACCAAGCATGCAGGCCTTCAGGAGCAGCAAGAAGGCTCCAGAAGCTTCTGAAAGCCTCCAGCGCCAGAGCCCACAGGGATATGCACCATCAGCCAGCTACTTTCCTGTGCCATTCAGGCTCAGGGCCTGGACTTCCCTTGGGGCTCAGTCCTGCGGGAGAAAAACAGTCGCCTTTAAGATATCAGGCAGAAGGCCACCGAGAGGCTGTATCAGGAGGAATCGCTCTACTTCCATCCCGTGGGCATTGATGGCTCCAGAGGAGAGAGGAGGGCTCTTAACCACCTGCCTGCAGCCCTGGCCACACAGGAAGTCACCGGTGCCCAGCCTCGCGCCAGCCTCTGCAAGTCCTGGCTGTAAAAGCCCACGAACGAGTCTTGTGTGGCCAAGGCTGAGACCACAGCTTGGATGCGCTGCCGCCTTGTCCAAGCCCCAGGCGAGGACATCATACAAGCAGGAAGCACCACAACGCTGCCTCGGCCAAGACTGTGAGCCCAGAATTCAAGACTTGAGTTCCAGTTCAACTCTGCCACTAACTCGCTGCCAACCTCAGGCGCGTTACTTCCCCCCGTGAGCAGTCTCCCCCTGCCAATGGGGAAGACGAGTCTCCATAGGATCATGTACAAGGTACACACCACGGTGAGTGTCCGGCACGACAAGTGATGACAAACCTGGAGCAGACATAGATGTGCTCTGGAGGGCCACTGTGTCCCTGCCCAGAGGTGCTCATGGCCACTGAAGTCAGAAAAAGTCAGTCTTGTTACCATCCTTCACCCTACTCAGCCCGATGGAACCAGGAGGGTCTAGGCCTGCCACCCTGGGGTGAGGGGACTGCAGTGCTCACCAGCGCTCACACACTTCTCCTTGGATTTCAGCATAAGGCATAGGTCAGAGATGCAGAGGCACAGGGGCACCCCAGCCAGCGGACCCTGAACTGCATTTCCACCTGGTCCCCGGGAGCCGTGCAGCTGAGCTGTTAAAGGGCAAGGATGCCACTGGGCCGGGGTCAGGGGGCCACGGGGTCAGAGGAAAAGCTGAGACCCAAGGCAGGTGCACGAGTGTCTGGAGAGATGGGGGCACTGCCCAGGGCACGGGGACATCTCCTCCTGTGGGTGGCTGAGAGCTGGGGATCCCTGGGGGGATGCTCTAGGGCAAAGGGCTTGCCTCCTCCCTCGTTGCCTAGGGGCTGCCTGGGCTGAAGGGAGCTGGCAAGCCGCCCTCTCCAGCCCACTGCAGGGACAGATCCCTCTTCCTCAGAGTGACTCAGGCTTGGCCCTGGAGACCACGCTGAGGTCACCCTCCTGGTAGCCAAAGTCCCTGATACGAACCAAGGGGCATTTTCACCCAGCTGCCAACATCATGCAGACCTGGGCAGTGACTAGCGCCCTTTGAATGGGTTCAGTTGCCCTGAACCGGCCTGCACACCCTCTCCCCCATGAACACAGAGCATCTACATCCTCTACAGACAGAGCAGCCCTTCAAAGAGTAAGCCTGAGGTGGGGTGGGGGACGGGAAATGCTCAGTCTAGTTTCCACGAAGGAAACCTGTTGTGAACTAGTGCCAACCCTCACCCCAAACACCCTCACCTTTAGCTGGAATGGACTCTGAGCCAACGGGGCTCCAGCGTTTCGAGCCCTGAAATTGGGGGTCCAGAAAAGGAGGGCAAGCCTCAGATGCCCTGGCCCCCACTGCTCCCAGCAGGTGGAGCCAAGGCCACCGACCCAGACCTGCCTCTCAGCGCCCCCTCCAGCTGTCGGGGCTCTGCTGCAAGCAGGCCCGAGGCCCGTGGAAGGCCTCCAGCTTGGCTCACTATCAGAACTTAATCTGGATTCCACGAGATCAAGAGGCCTTGGTGGAAAGTGGCTGTCACAAGGGGAGAGACGCCGAGGCCGAGGCCGATCCAAGCCAGCTAATCTCCGGCACCCCCGGGCTTTCCTGGAGCTCAGGCCCAGACTGGCCAGAGAGCCAGATGTCCCGGCTCCGCAGCTGGGCGGCCGGCAGCAGTGAGGCCATGGCTCCTTAGAAGGAGCAGGCTGGCCACACAGCAGGGCAGCAGGGTAAGATCCTCTCAGGGAGTCCGATCAGCCACAGGCCTTCAGCCTAAGAAAATGCCTGGCCCCAGTGGAGGAAATGCAAACCAGAGCCCCGCCCCCGCACCAGCTCAGGCTTGTATCCCCATGAAGACTGAACAACTTGGAGATTTAGCAGAGGAGAAAGCAGTGCTGCAGCCACACCTGGAGCTCAGCACTTTCCTAAGCAGGCTCTGCATTCCCTCCAATGATGGTGAGGGGGAGGGTGGTGGGAGGATGGTGATGGTGGTGACAGCGATGGTGATGATAGTAATGACGATGGTGACGGTGATGATACTAATATTAGTAAAACTTTGCTGCACATTTACTATGTTATAAGTAAGCATGGTAACCTCCTTTATCGTCACACTGGTATACAGTGTTGGACTCAAATCCACACTCTTAATAGCTGGTCATCCCACCTGGGGAATTACATAATAGGGTTGTTTTGCTTCTGCATTAACTTCTGGAGAATGAGAGTCTAGAGACCTTTTTGGAGCAGAAAGGAAATTTAGAAATCTAAAGAGAGCAGCCCCTTCCCCCCCTCCCACGGCCTCTCACTCCTCCACCTGCTCTCCTTCATACTCTGTACCTGTCATGTCCCTTCCTCTGCTCCACCGGGAGCTCCTGGAGAGCAGAGACTTGGGTCTGCTGACTTCCGCCTGCACACGCCACACAGCTGGTGCCCAAACATTCCCTGGCAAGGGACTTGGCCTCCCGGCAAGCCACAAGCCCTCGGAGGCAGGAACCCAAAGCTAGGCTGGGCGTCCCCAGAGATCACCTGTGACCAAGCTGCTTGTTGGGGGCAACTTGGTACCCCTGCCCTGGCTGCCTGCCAGGGAGCCTTGGAGGGCTGCCCCATCAGTCCCTCTTCCAACCACAGTGAGTCAGGCCCTGTCCTCTCCCCAGGGCCTTCCACCCACCACGGGGATCCCAGGCAGGGTCGAGGAGGCAGCCACCTCAAACCATGCTGGGACCACAGTGCCAGCAGGTTGACACAGGCAGGAAGGTGAGCAGCTGCCGGCAGCCGCTGCACCGGTGGGCCCGTGGGCTGCTCCTGACGAAGAGCCGCTCGGCACCTGCCTCACCACCAGTTAGTGCGTCTTCATGAGAAATGCCAAGCGTGTCCTTGTTCAAGAGCCTGGGAGTTCTGTCAGAGAACAGAGCACACACATGCCACCGAGAAGGAACTCAATGCTGCTGCTTGTGCCTGGGCCTGGAGCCAGGGCACGGCCGACCAGGAGTACAGGGGCACCTGAGTACCTTAGAGAGACTCGGAGGTGACTGCCCAGGCTATCTGCCGCCTCCCCTGCACCCGCTCACGTCTGTACCATAGGGCACTGCGTTAAATGGGGGCTCTGAAATGCAAACTTAATCCACACTGAGATACCATTGGCTCATCAGACTGACACAAATCAAACAGTTTAATAAGGGACCATGTTGGTGAGAATAGGGAGAAACAGGCCTTCCCTATGTGTTTCTGGGAATATAAACAGATACAGCCTCCTTGGCAGCAATTAAACCCATCAGGGTCCCTGTGTGTGGGCCCCCTTAGGGGGCTGGTGTGTGTATGAAACTCATCAGTGTCCCTGGGTGGGAGCCCCTTAGGGTGCTGGTGTATGTATGAAATGAGGTGAGGAGTATAAGACATCAGGAACATCAAGAACAGCTTCGTTACCTCCAAAATGGAGATGCTTGGCAAATAAGGTGGTAACGGTCCCTAAGTCGCTGATGTGACAACAGCCCCCATTCCAAATGAAGATGCCGGACTGCCCATCCACTTTCCTTCCACTGAAGGAGCTGCCCACCCACCCTCCTTCCACCGATTACCAAGGAACAGTATGCGGGGAGTCGGACAGAAATCTGAGACCTGAGACACCAGGAAACCCAGCCCGCGGGTAGTATGCGACCCTGGCTCGGCATCTCGGGGCTGCAGAGTGGACCTGCCAGGCGTCCCAGCCATTCTCTCAGACTTCTTACCTCCCAGAAGAGCTTGAAACTAAAGGGTCTCAAAAATTAAAATCTTTCCACACCAGCGTTCGGTTCCTAGCCTCCTGAACACTGGAAGGCTGAGAGTTCTCTGCCTGTTTATTTTGGGTTTGGGGGTGTCTGTCCCCTAAGATGATTATAAATGGCCACTTTGGTTGGTCACCTGACATCATGTGCTGCGTTTCAGAGTGACAGTTGGGGAGAGACAGACCTTCGAAAGCATTTCTTCCTCTTCTCCGTCCCCCACCTCCCATGCCCCTAAACACACGCCAGACCCAGACCACCCACAACACCCACTTGGGGTGACACAACCTCAGGCTCACTGGCCATCCCCTATTCCTAACAGGATTCTTTAAGAAACAATGACATGAAAACAAAACAAAACGACATACACCCTCTTTAAAAAAGATATCCAGCCCTGACCAGTTTGGCTCAGTGGATAGAGCGTTGGCCTGTGGACTGAAGGATCACAGGTTCGATTACGGTCAAGGACATGTACCTTGGTTGCGGGCACATTCCCAATAGGGGTTGTGCAAGAGGCAGCTGATCGATGTTTCTAACTCTCTATCCCTCTCCCTTCATCTCTGTAAAAAAATCAATAAAATATATATTTTTTTAAAAGATATCCAGTCCACTGCCTGCACGTGGTGGAAGCAGCCAGGACTGACCCTGCGTGGCCAGACCCCACCCTCTGGCTGCCACCACGTCCCTCCCAGGCGTCAGCACAGCACCCACCTGCCCAAGTGCTCCTGCAGCACCTGGTACACGCTGATCCGGAACGTCTGGTTGTCGAAGCGCTCCCGGATGTAGTCCTTGTAGATCCGGAACTCAGCAGCAGTCACGGCTTCCCCTTCCGGGATCTTGGAGAGATCAAACCGGAACTCTCGGTGGTGGTAGCGCGGGTGGAAAAACTCTTTGTCGTGTTCCACTGGGAAGGGAAAAACACACTCGTTAGTAACGGGCTGCACGCTCCTGGCTCAGAGGCCAAGCATCTGGCCTAGACTAGATACAGGCGTGCCCGTGGCTAGCGACCCCCGGGGGTAACGGCTCAGCCCCTCGACTGCTACAGGCTAACGGGTCCCCTGGGGAAGCCGGGGCAGTGACTCTGCATCCACCTGCTGGGAAGAGGTGGACAGTGAGTAAAGCTGTCCTGGCAGCTGGGGAAGGCTCTGGTCCCGGAGAGCAGGTCAAGCAAGGTTTGAATCCAGGCTCAGCGACTAACTAGCTGAATGGACTGGACCAAGTTCCCCATGCCTTTAGCTTCTCCATCTTTTGTTGTGGTCAGAGGTAAGTTTTCTAATTCACATAAGTAGCTTAATCTCTGGTAGGGATAGACCTGTGGTTCGCAAACTGTGGCTCGAGAGCCACATGCGGCTCTTTGGCCCTGGCGTGTAGCTCTTTCACAAAATACCACGGCCTGGGAGTCTATTTTGAAGAAGTGGCGTTAGAAGAAGTTTAAATTTAAAAAATTTGGCTCTCAAAAGAAATTTCAATCGTTGTACTGTTGATATTTGGCTCTGTGGGCTAATGAGTTTGCAGACGACTGTGAGCGGTGATTAGTCAACATCGACCTCCCCTGCCTCTCTGGGTCCCTCGGCCCCGGTGCCCCGCCGGCTGCAGGTGAGAATCGCGGCAGGAGCTTTGAAAAAGCCCACGGCTGGGCTGGTAAGCGTTTCCTAACAGGCCCTCCGGGACCCCGTCTGTGGTGTTGACCAATTGCCATCTCGCAGATCTCGGCTTCCACAGTGGGGCAGGGAGATGGTGCACGGGTCCAGCAGCTGCTGCTCTCTCTCCACTCTGACCCAGCTGCAGGGTCACTGGAGAAGAGGTTCCAAACCCGATACTTTGTAAAGCGCCCAGATGTTTTTTCATAGCAGCCAGGTTTACAACCACAGACTTATACTTCTAGGAGACAGCATGGCCAGAGGCTGTGGAAATGACTTCAGGACAAAAGAAAGTGAAGGACCTCACCGCTTCTCCCGGACACGAAGTGAGACCAGCCCAGGGGAGCATGCCCCCTTCGCCGGGATAAACACCGAGACCGAGGCCTGGTCCTGGGGTGCACCTGCGGTTCCTGCGGGCCCTGCATCCTCTGGACCAAGAGGAAAGGGAAGAAGCTGCGAGGAACAAGCTCGGGAAGATGCAGAGTGGCCAGGCAAGCCAGGCTCCGGAGAGTGTGCAGCATCTGCCATCTCCTGGGACAGACTCGCTGCACTTCCTGTAGCGGTGGGGACAGCCTGGCCAGAGGAGAGGAGAAGCATGGCCAGCTGCAGCCCAGTAGGCCAAGAACTCCCGGTGGGCTAGGGCTGCTGCAGTGAAGGAGGGGCTGCTTGATGAAGGAGGCGCACGGCACCAGCAGCCCAGGTCTCCATTGAGAGGACACTGAATGAGGGCAGGGGCACTGCTCCCTCCTGGGCTGAGGGGGCAGGTGATACCTTGGGGCAGGGATTCCGGCCAGGCAGAGTGACCCCGTGTCTGGACCACAGCTTCTGGAACCCGGGGCTCCATGGAAGAGCTGGCCAGAGGGAAGGGCTCTCCAGAACCGAGGGCAGCTGTCCTCACACACCCCACTTCACACCCACAGGAGCACCTCTCTCTTCTACCAGGAGAGAGCTGGGAACCAGGAGGTCACGGTTCGATTCCCAGTCAGGGCACACGCCTGGATTGTGGGCACAATACCCTGTGGGGGATGTGCAGAAGACAGCCAATCAATAATTCTCTCTCATCATTGAAGTTTCCATCTCTCTCCCTCTCCCTTCCTCTCTGAAATCAGGACAAAAAAAAAAAAAAAAAAAGACATGGCCATGGAGACTCCGATCTATGAAGGTGGAGTAGAGGGAGGGGTCTTTGTGGCAGCTTCCAGGAAGCTTTGGGAGCCTCAGGAGGAAACCAGGGGGTGGAGATTGGGAGGCAGGGCAAGCGGCCTCCACTCTGTGACTGTGGAAACGCCCCGGGCCAGTGCTCTCACCCTCATGCTCACACGCCCCTTCCCTGCCCGTGGGGAGGAGATGCACCTGAAGCCCACAGGGTGTTGAGTTGCAGGTCCAGAGTCAGAGTCAGGTGCAGCCTCACTGGCCCTGGCCACACATATCCATGCAGTGCTGACAGCTGGGCAGGGAGCAGCTTTGCAGGTGTGTCAGAACCTTTTCATCGATTGCAGTGCAGTGTGTACACCGACCAGATGTGTGCAGTTGGCGGGCCTCAAAGCGAACCCACCCGAGGAAGCGTCTCCCAGATCAAGAAACTGACGTGGCCAGCGCCCCTCCCCGCTCCAGCCACAGGTGAGCTGTGCTGGTGGTTGAACCTTCTAGCAGGGGTAACACGGCACCTGCTCCTGGGCCTGGCTCCTCCCCGCCCTGGTTACCGTGTGACTCGTCCTCAGCACTGTGGACGCTCACGCACCCTCACTGCTGTGAGCAGCCCACAGCCTGACTGGCCTCTGGCCGTGTCCCTTCTAGTTCACGGCACCCGGGGATCTGCAACCCAGGATCTGAGAGCAGCGCTGCCAGGAGCGAGTCTGGACGGCACACAGGAAGTGCGTGCTCAGCTTTGTGACGCTGCCACGCTGTTCTCCCAGAGTGCCATGCCTGGGCATTGCTCAGTGCCAGGAGGAGAGCAGCCTGGCTGGGAAGTAACGGGCAGAGGCTGGGGACACGGTGGCCTCCTCAGCTTTTCTACAGGGGCTGGGAAGGGGCGGTGAGGCAACACCCCCTGAAACAAATCCTGTGCCCCAGTGAGCAGTCAGGCGCATGCACACAGCCCCCAGCCTGGGCCCTGTGAGGGAGCTCCCAGGGAATGCACCCCACGGTGCCCCATCCGAAGTGAAAGACCATCCCTTAACTAAGCAGAAGGGGCACCACGGCCATCCTCTTGCCGGACCTCCGTGAGCAGCACGCGACCCTGGCCCTTCCTGCCCCCTGAACCTGCCTTCCCGCGGCTCCCTGCTCTGTGGCCGCTCAGGCCACTCCTGGAAACACGCCCTCAGACATTCCCGATTCCGGGAGATTCCGGGGGTTAATGTGTGTTGTGGAATATCAGGACAGCATTCCACAGGCCAGTCCCGCCCTCACGCTGACAGATGGCACAGATAAAGCCTCCACTTCCAGTGCCTCCCCCAGCAGAGCCCAAGCTCTGAAGGCCAGCAAGGTCCAAAGCCCCACAGGCCAGGAAGGTCCGCGGTGCGGTGCGGTGCGGCATTCAGCAGAGGACCCAGCACGATGCCGGACACAGTCAGACTCTAACACACCCCAGTCGCCCTGCTCCCCGTGCGGAGTAGGCCTTGCCTCGAACAGCTCCCATCAGCTGACAGTGACCAACCAAGCAGAGACGGGGGTTGGGAGCCCTGGTCAGTTTACAATAACGATGGCTGAAGAACTGAGAAGTGAACAAGAGAAAGCATGTTTATGAGACCTGCTCTGTGATGGTCTCACACAGAGGAGCTTGTGCCAATCTGACGGACCCCGTGAGGCAGGATGGATCCCCATTTTACAGGTGAGGAAACTGAGGCTCAGGAAGTAAAGCAATTTGCCCAAGGTCACAAGTTAGGTGAGTGGCTGAACTCCAAAATCCACACTCTTTGACCTTTACATTCTCTGGGGCCAAGTGGCCTGAGTTCCCATCTCAGCTATGCCACTTACCAGCTGCATGGCGATGCCAGCTTATTACCCTCTGTGCGTGCCCCCTTCCTCCAGGGTCATAATAATGGCCCTTTCTCACACCGCTGTTGGGAGGCCATGGGACCGGCACTGACAACAGAGCCAGGCAGTATGTGCCGGCCTGGCCGCTGTTACAGAGCCTCCTGACACTGAGCGGGGAGAATGTCGGCAGAAGACGTAGTGTGTATGTGGGTATTTACATAGTTCAGCCAAGATAACTTTATCTGGGAGAGAAATGCAGCAGAGCAAACAATACGGACATGTTTAATAAGCATGGCACTGACACGGGTACAATTACTAAAGCCACATACCCAGCGAAGAAAGAAAACATCGATACATAATTAATCACAAATATGAAGTTCACTGAAGCAGGTGTGTATGTAACTTTTCTAACATATAAGATTACATGCATCTTAACTGTTAGGACACTGAAGATATCAGACAGTTGAGATAATAAGTTATAAAGTCTCTTTTTAAAAAATGGTGAAGGAATAAAGTGTCCAAGGAAACTTTGTGCAAGTTTTTGGTTTGGCTTTCCGGATGAATTTCCTTCTTTGATTATTTTAAAACAACGAGAGGCATGAGCCACGCTGCCGTTCTGTTCTTCCTGAAACCCAGAACGTATGTTCTGAGATAATGTTGTGATTTATAAAAAAAAAAAAAAAAAAAAAAAAAAGAATGGTCATTTTTTTAAAAAGAGCAGCGAATAACCCAACGTCCAACCCAAATACCAAGTCACGTCTTCCCGAGACTTCGGCCTTCTGTGGGAACCCCTCCATAGCATCACTCCACACCAGTTCTTCCTGGGATCGACAATTTAATGGGCCCCACTGAGGTTTAGCTGGGAGAAAACGCATCTTTACACCAGCTTCTTAAGCCACAGGTGATTACCCAAGACTTGTACTTTAGCATCAGCGCCTGGCATAGCTGCCTCCCTGCCCATAAAGAAACAATATGTGTATCACTGGGCTCTCTAAGAAAACGCAGAGCCTGGAAATCCAGCTTTCCCGCTTCCCTTTACATTCCAGCCCCCCGCAGGCCAGGAGAGCTCCCAGGCTTTCACAAAGATTTTCATCCTGAAAAGATCAAAAGGGCTCAAATCCCTGAGACCAAACGGTGAGTCCAAAGAGATTCCAGAAAACACCACCCTGACAGCAACCAGCCTCATGACTGTCCCCAAAGCTGCTCCTAGAGTCCTTTCACAAAAGCCTGAAACCGTAACCCTGAAGCTGGCCCTGGGAGGGGAGTTTCTGCGTAGCAGGATCTCAACAAA